GAGGCTGAGATCTACGCAGGGGCCATGGCTGCACAGGAGTTATGCTGGCTCACCTACCTGCTGACCGACATGGGAGAGCCACCTCGTTCTCCTCCAGTGCTGTACGTCGACAACAAGGCCATGATTGCCTTGTGTCAGGAGCACAGACTGGAGCACAGAACGAAGCACATCGCTCTGCGCTACTTCCTTGCTCGAGAGCTGGAGCAGCGTGGTCAGCTTCGTCTCGCTTACGTGGCCTCTCGGGCCAACACTGCTGATGTTTTCACCAAGGCACTTCAGCCTTGTGATCATCAGCGTTACTGTACTGTTCTAGGCCTTGTACCTACTGTGCCTCACTTGCTTACTTCTTGACTCTGCTTGTACTGTGATCTCTATACATATACCTGCATGCTTACACTTACTAGGTTGTGTTCCTGTATTGCTTGTTCTCCTTTATATAACTCTGCATGTGAACTGGTCTTTGTGGCCATTTGCTTGTGCTCATAATGCGTGGTGACTTTGTGATCCACCCTGGGCTTGCTTTGCCTTTCTTGACCGGTCTTGTGACCTCTTGTTCTCCCCCACTTTGCCTATGGGGGTGTGTCAAACTTATATGCTATAGTCTGTTTAGGCTGTAGTGGGGTAGTTCATATAGGGTACAACACTTTTAGGTTTCCTACTTGTACCAACCTGCTTGCTAGTTCAGTCATTCATTCCTTCACGATTCTGACATCTGTAGCCAATCCCGTCCCAGCAGCACATCACAACCGTCCAGTGTTGTCGCCAGCATCTTCATTGCAAACCCGAAATCGTCGCCACACTTCATCCGAATTTGTCGCACCTCGTCCCTGAATCGCCAGCGGTGTTCCGTCCACCAGTTGTGCGCCGATCTCGGGCAGACACCTGTCCAGTTTAACTCCGATTTTCTTGGCCGGTTGATGAGACTGTAGCTCGCCCCACCGTCAACGAATATCTGTATTTTATGCCCATTAACCCTCCCCACGACCAGCACAGGGTGATCCACGTGTTCAGCCGATTGCGGTCAATAGCCCGTATCGGTACCACTACTCGGTGTGGATGTTGATTGCCGGGCGACGGGGTCTCGTCAGTAGGTGGCCCGATTGCTATTGACTCGTCTCTTTTCCCGACCCCTCTCCGTCGTTCCTGTTCCTTTGTTTCAACTTCGTGCAGTCTTTCCTCCAGTGGCCCGGTTGGTTGCAGTTGAAGCACGTGTTTGGTGCACGTCTCGGCGCATCCACACGGTTGATCGTGGGCTGGCGAGGCGAGAACTCAATCTCGCCCACTGCATCAGCGCGTCCGTTGATTCGGCCAGCTGGACGGCATCGATGAAGTCGCGTGGCCTCGTTCGTCGCACCTCGTACTGCACCTCGTATTTGAGGCCTGCGACGTATTTGTCGAGTCGCTCCGCGTCACTCATATCGTCCACTTGGTCGGCCAAAGCGCATAATGCAGGCCCTCAGAAGTCAGCGAAAAAAGGCTGATTAGGGGTAAAAAGCCTGTGATTTCAGCCATTTGGGTAGATGTTGGGCTGTTGTGGCAGCTTTTTTTAGAGTGTGTATGCTGTAATTTCAGTTTTAAAAAAACTGTCTCTGCTGAAATATCAGTTTTTTTTCCTGTTGTGTGCGCTGTCTCATCAGACTTGTATCGGAGGGCTGGGCTGAAATCCCTGTAATGGAGATTCGGGTTTAGTTTAGGCCCTGAATTCCAGATGTCTAGATACAGCTGTTCGAGTGTCCCTCCGTCAATCACGCCCAAATGGCAAGATTCCTTACCAACGCATTCGGGAATGGCATCAGTCCCGAACTTTCACACCACTGCTGTCAGGTCGCAAAGGTATCTTCGCCAGTGATTGGATGTTAGGTCAACCACATCAGCCAGTGGCGAATGGAATGTGAACAGCGCGGCACCACGCATGCACGTTATAGCAGTACAGCACCACAAAATGGTTGCCGCACGACTAGGAAAGCCCCCAACCTCACCCACCCCGAAGCTGCAACCAGGTACGTGCACGATTCCATGGGTCGATTCGCCATGCATCATGGCACGGTAAGCTTGCCAACCAATCCCGCTTCACCATCACCAGCTCCTTCTTGCTAACCCCATGTAGCTGCTGGAGTCCCCCGTCTCTCACCCAACCTCGCAAGGGTTTCACTTCTTTCGCCTCTAGCACCAGGCGATTCTCGCCACGTTCTCTCAGTGCTCGTCACGCTCTCTTAGTGCTCGGCTCGCTCTCGTATCTGTTCCGCCATGGCTGGCCATGGCGCCGGCCTTTCAGACGACGAGGGTGACGCCGATGTAGACGACGCCGATAGCATCGACATCGAAGAAGCCCGTATTGGGCTAGATCTTCTACTAAGATCTTTAGGCCGCCAACTACCACCTCCAGCGCCCACTGCACCCGATCCGGTTCTTACAGTGGCGGAGAACCCGAACGTGCCTTCCAGACCGGATTCCATCCAGTCCGTCCCTCCCGTGCCGCCTGGTGTTTTCGACACCGTTCACGTCGGCACGTCGGCGTCGAAGTCGTCAGCACCGCGCACAATCAAGCTCAAGCAACAGAAGCTGAGTTTCTGGAAGCCATCATCCAGCGTCCCAGTCTCGGATGCTGTTGTCAACGAAACCACCGTGCGCCCGTCTCTGGACATCAACGTTCAGGAGATTGTCGAAGCGATTTATGCCGAGGCACTGGATAAGTACAAAACTAACTGGCTTGAGCGTTTCCCATGGCTTGTACTTACCAAAACTGTTCGTGGTCTGCCTGCTTTCAAATGCAGTATCCGCACTAAGCACGCCGGTGTTAGGGGACGTTGTGGCAGGACAGGCAAAGGTGCTACCGACGTCCAGACGCAGGCCTTTCGATGCCTGTGTTGAGGCCTGCACCGACTTCGCCAAACGCACCGTGGCGAACCTGGAGAGTCAGCTGAGCGACTTGGAATCGTTTTCGGGAGTCCGACTGTTCCTGCCGGTGTCAGGGGACGTTGTGGCAGGACAGGCAAAGGTGCTACCGACGTCCAGACGCAGGCCTTTCGATGCCTGTGTTGAGGCCTGCACCGACTTCGCCAAACGCACCGTGGCGAACCTGGAGAGTCAGCTGAGTGACTTGGAATCGTTTTCGGGAGTCCGACTGTTCCTGCCGGATGAGTGTCCGAAGAGCAAGTTGGAGCGTCACGCACGATGCGTTGAGTGGCTGCATTCGCTGGTGACGCTGTTCAAGGCAGAGCAGGCAGAAAACATACTGCCAGGTGGAGTTGTGTTATGGGTTTTTGTTTGTTTCAATGCCATCGTATTGTTTCTCTTTACTACCAATACACCTCCTTCCCGTTTGCTTAAGTCATCACTAAGCCCCATCTTGCATTGTTTCCTCTCCCTCCACTTGGGTTGTTGCCATGCCAGGTATCAAGAAGCGGCAGGCCCACAAAGAGCTGCGACTGTTCTGCTCCGTCCGTGCCTCTGCATCGAAGGGGGAGAGGTCTTTCCACGATGGCCTCACCGCGATTTTGAAGACTCCTGACTGGCAGGAGAGTAACCCCAACTTGGTTCTGTTGTGGGTAGCTGTCGCGGTGATTCCCCTTAGCACTGTGGAGTGCGAAAGGGGCTTCTCTCGCCAGAACGTGATCAAGACTTGGCAGTGGAGTAGCCTCAAAGATGCAAGGCTGGGAGACTTGATGTGCATGTCTCTGATGCTGTACAAGCCACGGTTCGACGAGGTGGTCGAGATCTGGAGAAGCTACAAGAAGAGGAAGCCATTTTCTAATGCCCCAATTTCCACCCTAGGGGAAACCAGCAAGAAGGGGAGAGCAACAGCTATGGAAGTAGATGAACCCCATGCTGTAGAAGCTGTAGGCTCTAGTGAAAGTGAGGATGAAGAGGATGATGAGGATGATGATGATCTGAATAGTTAATTGTTTGTCTTGCGTGCTATGAGTGGTTCAGACTTGACCGGCAAAATGACGCTGATCGTTCAGCTCTTTTTATCCTAGACAGCCTGAAAAATCAGTTTTTTTTTTAACAACTCCACTGACCGCTCAGCCATGAACTCATTCCTAAGGTTGACCAGTCAGCCTACGCCAAAACGAATCTGAGGGCCTGGCATAATGTCGCCGTGTAGTCTTGGACCGATGTCACCTACCGTACTTCCAAGCACGCAGCTTCATGCTCACCATGTCACCAGCAGAAATAATGTCAATCCAGCAACAGTAAGGAATTAGGAAAATTCCTTACACCATGTCTGGATTGACTATACAAAGGATACTGCTGTTCTGAGATGTCCCGTATTAACTGATTGCAAAGACTTGGCTCTACTGAGCACAGCCTAGGAATACAGTACGGTATTCCTGTACGAGCCAATTATGAATTTGTTATCCTGTACTACTACAGCCTGCTATCGTTCATAACTGCTACAGCCAAAAGACCTGGCATGGCATAATATACAGCCATACTCCGGCAAGATGCACACTACAAAATTAATAAATATGGAGGCAGTGGTGCTGCAGGCCTGTACGGTACCATTACCCTGCAGTTGATCATAGCCTGCAAGAATCACTAGGCTGCACACAGAACAGAATAAATAAAAATGCTCGAAACAAAGAACAGGGCTGTAATCAAGACGTCTTTTTCCTAGGTGGACAACTGCATGACAACCACATCTGGCCTTAGGTATGATGGAAGGGTGGGAAGCCGGCTTAGGCACGTGGAAGGGCAAACAGAACGCCAGAGGCCTTAACAAAGCTGCTTGGGCTCGGCGTCTTGGCAGGATGCGGGGATAGGGTGGCAGATGTGTATGTGGGGTGGCAGGATTGACTGTTGGTTGGCAGGGAGCAAGAGTAGGGCGGCAGGGAGCAAGAGTGGGGCGGCAGGAAGCAAGAGTGGGGCGGCAGGAAGCAAGTGCAGGTCGGCAGGTTCTGAGTCTAGGACGGCAGGTGCCGCGACAGCAGGCCGTCAAAGGCTATGTAGAGGTCCTTGTTGTCTGGCCCAAATCTTTTAGGCACTTGAAAGAACATCTAGGAGGGCAGGTGCCGTGACAGCAGCCCGTCAAATGCCGTGTAGAGGTCTTTGTTGTCGGGGCCAAATATCTCGTCTGCCTTGCGCAGCGTTTCCTGCCATGACAAGCATTTGGCGTGGGAGAAAGTGGGGGGAGAAGGGGGACTTCAGGAGGGCAGGTGTCGCGACAGCAATCCATCAAAGGCCGAGTGAAGGTCTTTGTTGTCGGGCCCAAGTATCTCGTCTGCCTTGCGCAGCATTTGCTGCGATGATGGGCGTTTCAGGTGGAAAATCGTAGGGGAATAAGGGGAGTCCCAGGGGAAAATGAGGGAGTTCCATCCAGCGAAGAAAATAGGCAACTAAGAAGATTGGTATTTGCGAATGAAGGGAAGGAGAGGACGGAAGGTGTGGGAGGGAGGGATGGGGAAGAAGAGAGGGAGGTTATGGAGAGAGCAAGACTATAGAAGAGCAGGAACCCGGAATCAAGGTGCATGGGGCGATGGGAGGGAGAGGGGGTTTCAAAACTCAACTTTTACAAGAAGGAGGTGAAGGAGAGAGCAAGACAATAGAAGTGCAGGAACACGGAAACCAAGAGCATGGGGCGACGGGAAGGAGAGGGGGTGGAGAGCGTTGGGAGAGGAAGTGGGTTGGGTGGGGAGGAGTTTAACAATGGAGAGGAGAAGAGGGGTTGTGAGGGAGAAAGGAGAGGAGGCGTGGGGGAGAAAGTAGGGGCTGTGGGGAAGGGAAAGGAAAGGCGGTGGGAGAGAGAGGCGCACTTCTCTGGACTGTCTGTGTGCGTTGAGCTCCTTGATGTTGGCCAGGAAGGCGCTGAACTGCTCATATGACAGACGGTTCCTGGGAGACGGGAATGGGGGGAGAGAAAGAGAGGGTCAGGGGAGGGGAGGTAGTATAAACTAGGGAACGGAGCAAGCACTGCTGTTGAGCTCCTTGAACTTGGCCAGGAAGGCGCTGAACTGCTCGTATGACAGGCGGTTCCTGGGATAGGCGGTTTCAATGGCACCCCATGCCATTGAAAGTCTGGCGCTACTTGCTACCAGGGAATGCAGCAAGGCAGAGATGTGCCTTTTGAGTCGACTCAAAAGTCACCTTGCTACCAGGGAATGCAGCAAGGCAGAGATGTGCGCATGAAGGTGGACGTGTGATGCAGAAACAAATCTTAGGGAGGAGCAGGCATTACCTTGCTTGTCTGAAGAACTCCTTCCCATCCACTCGTGGTGGCCGACCTGTGAGCAAAGCATGGGGCACAGCACATCAGCGGTTGAGGATAAAGAGTCTAAAGACTGCTGCATCGAGTTTTGAGACGTCTCAAAATTCCTTCGCATCCACTCATGGTGGCCGACACGTGAGCAAAGCACGGGGCACAGCACATCAGCAGTTGAGGATCGAGGTTGTTGCATTGAGCTCTTGAAGAAAGGGAGAAAAGGAGGAACGCACGCATGCATATGAAAACAAAAACATACACATGCACAGATTCATGTATGTTTATACATGCATGGCCGTACTTTTCCACAAGGACACACACACACACACACACACACACACACACACACACACACACACACACACACACACACACACACACACACACACACACACACACACACACACACACACACACACACACACACACATAGAACATAGCAACGATGTCTTAGTATGTTGTGTTGCCATGCAAACATCCCATCCCGCCGCACCATGCAAACATCCCATCCCATCCCACACACACATAGGCGGAGAGGGGAGAGTGGCCATTACCGAACAATCATATACTTTTTATGGGTATCATTTTATGCATGGATCGCACAAGCCACAACCATACCACAATACAATCACACCCATAAACCTCATGCACCTTTCACTTTGCACCCCCCCCATGCATCCCATCTTGCACCCCATGCACCACCTCTCACCTTCATGGGAAGCACCGGGGGTGGAGTGGGCAGGGGAAAGTGCCGGAGGGCGTGTAGCCCACAATGACGCTTACATAGCCCATGCAATCACACGCATGCACCCATACACTCGAAGCATGGTCCCCCACATACACCACGTGCACCCCATGCAACCCATGCACCCCATGCCCCCATCGACACCACAGACCCCTCACCTTCACGGGAAGCACCAGAGGCGGAGTGGGGGGGAGTGGCGGAGGGCGTGTACTGAGGGGAGACCAGGGAGGGCGTCATGAGGGGCGTGCGCTCACCACATACGTACCCCATCCCATGCAATCACACACATGCACCCCATATAATCACACCATGCACCCCATGCAGCTGCGCTCACCTTCACGGGGAGCACCCGAGGCGGAGTGGGGGGGAGTGGCGGAGGGAGTGTATTGAGGCGAGACCAGGGAGGGCGTCATGAGGGGCGTGCGCTGCTTGCTGCTGCCCATGTTGCTGCCCGTTGGAATTGCAATGCTGGGCGGCCTGGGGGCTGAAACAAGAGAAAAGAAGGATGCGAGGGGTATGGGATGAGAGGGAAACTAGTCAGCATGCATGCATGCAGCTTGCCACTGCTTGATGCTCATGCTATTGCACATTGTCAGTCTTTGGTGCATTTGGAAAGAGAGGGGTCTCAATAAGAGATAATGAGGGCTTGAGAGAAACGAAGAGGAGAGAGAGGGGCTGAATAGGAGATAATGAGGGCTTACTAGTGTCTGCTGCAGCTGGCGTCGGCGTCTGATTGGCTGGCTTGGCCTTGTCCCCGGCATTGCTGTCTGCATCTAAATGGTCGGGAGCATGCAGCGAGGGTGGGAGAGAGGAGCAGCAGATGGCAGATGAGCACACTAGTGGCACACTAATGGCACACTAGTGGCACACTTAGGGTTGAGCAAAAAAACGAACACCTGTTCGGTTCGCCTCGAACGTGTTCGAGGCGAACCGAACAGGTTTTTTTTTTTGGATTAAAATGTTCGCCGAACAGTGTTCGATGTTCGCCCGAACACGTTCGTGTTCGGGCCGCTGCTGCAATTTGCCCGCGACGAACACGAACAGTGTTCGAGGTTCGCCCGAACACGCCTTCACAGGCGAACGGCGAACACCATTTTTTGCTCAAAGTGTTCGCCGAACCGAACAGTGTTCGGTTCGGCAAACGAAGGTGTTCGTGTAGGGGCGAACACGAACACGTTCGTGTTCGCCACTTGCTCATCCCTAGGCACACTAATGGCACATTAATGGCACACTAATGGCACACTAGTGGCACATTAATGGCACACTAATGGCACACTAATGACACATTAATGGCACACTAATGGCACACTAATGGCACATAACAGATGGCACATAACAGATGGCACATGGTAGGCAGATGAGCGTAAATGGTCCTTCCCTCCGCCTTCCTCCCTCCCTGCCCCTCTGCCCCTCTGTCCCCTACCTCATACTCACCAGAGGCAGCAGTGGTGTGTGTTCTCCACCCACCCCTCTCCCTCCTGTCTCTTCATCCCCACGCTTAACAAAAGCGCCTTCCCCAGCTGGTTACTCCTCCTTGACCCACGCACTGCCCACTTGCCCCTATCTCTGCTATCTCTTCATCCCCACACTCACCAGAAGCGCTGTCGCCAGTCTGCAGCAGAAGGCCCGCTACCAGCAAAGGCAATGGGGGTCGTCACTTCTCCCCCCGAGCGCATTCCCTTCCTCCTTTCTGTCGATCCTCTCACCAGAAGCACTGTCACCAGCCTGCTTTGCAGCAAAATCCCCACTAGCAGCAGAGGCATTGAGGGTCGTCACTTGGCCCTTGTCCCACGCACTTCCCATGTGAGAGTAATCCTTTCCTTCTGACTTTCTCTCCTCTCATCTGAAGCGCTGTCGCCAGTCGGCTTTGAAGCGGAAGCCTCATTACCAGCGGAGGCAATGGGGGTCGTCACTATTGTTGTCACACACACTGCCCAACCGCCCCTATCCCTCCTGTCCCTTCATCCCCACACTCACCAGAAGCGCTGTAGCCAGTCAGCTTTGCAGCAGAAGCCCCGCTACCAGCAGAGGCCGTGGTGGGCTCTGACGCTGCTAGCTTCTGCTCACCTTGACTCTCAAGAGTCCTACTAATTGGTCATACCCACACTCACCAGAAGCGCTGTCGCCAGTCTGCTTTGCAGCAGATGCCCCGCTACCAGCCGAGGCCGTGGTGGGCTCTGATGCTGCTGGTTTGGGGGCAGCGGCAGTGGCTGCGGCCTGTGAGTAGGGGAGGAGAAAGCGATGGGTAAGGTTGAAGGAGGGAGGAGAAGGAAAGGTAGGGATGAGGAGGAGGAGGAGAAAGGGACGGGTAAGGGTGATGAGAGGGAGGAGAAGGGACACGTAAGGGTGAAGAAGATGAGGCGTTGGGTGAGGGAAAGGAACGGACAGATAAAATACACCAGGTGTCAGGCAAAGGAATGAGCATCTGATGCGATTGCTCACCATGGAGGGTGGTTCGTCGTCGTTCTCGTCCTGCAGCTGCTGCATCAACGTGCGCTTGAACGTCTCCAGCTGTACGCGAAGTAAAAAAAAAACAGGAACAAACATTTGAAATCTGCAGATTATGACGACATTGCGAGGAACCTGAGGAACATGAACGGAAAAAAAGGCCTGACATTTACAATACTATACAAGGTAATGATTTGTGGATGATTGAAAAAGCGCTGGTAGAGAGAAGCGAGGGAGGACGCACCGTTGGGGGTTGCGACAAGCAGACAAGGCTGTTGAGAGGGCCACATGAGCGGTGTATAATGGGCAGTGTGAGGATAACCTGATTGAGGATGGGGGGGGGGATCACTCACCTTTGCCACGTCACGATTAAGCTTCTTCACCATGGCGACAAGTGCCGTCTTCTCATTGGACAGCCGCGCCTGCCAGTGGCGAGAAACAACCCGCGAACGGGAGTGGTTTGAGAAAAAGGACGAAACGCTTAGAGGGTTCGTTCAGATGCACCTCGCAACAATAAACTACGGAGCGAATGGAAGGCTCGAGAAAAGGGCGGGAAGCTGTGGGAAACGAAGAACATCGGTACGAGAACGGTGCGAGACAAGATAGTCAAAGCACGCGGCATAATGCCAAGGAATATGATGGGAAATGAGGGTAAAGGAACATGCAGGAACATGAAGGGGAGAAAGAGGGTGATTCACTGAAAAGGCGAATGGCGGGAGATGATAGATGACGAAGGGAAACAAAGGGAAACAAGGGCTATGCGGAAAAATTAAGGACGCGAACGCACCTGCTCCTGTTCCGACTTCTCGACCTTGTCAATAGCTTCCCGTAGAGAGGCCTCCAGACTCGAGACTTTCTCCTCGAGGCTCTTCACCGACCCTTGGCTCGCCTCGTAATTGCTGCGCATGCTACTTGACTCTCGCTCCGATTGATGTGCGTGCGCGGACATGGCTCTAACAGCGATGCTTCGCGATATTCGCAGCATTTCGAACGGATCGGCCGGGAGGAGATCGAGAATCTCTTGAGGAATGTCGTCAACTCCGGAGCCATCGCCTGAACCTGATCCCATCCTTAGGCTATTCGAAGCACTAATCTGGTCACTAAGGTGCGGGAGCGAGGCGTGATTATTAGTCGACTCGAAATACTATTAGGCCCTACTACGCGCTACTACGCGCTACTACGGGTCAGACCGGTGCCGGAGACCTGGAAGCCTTAGACGCTTATACGTAGTATGCGTTCTCTGCGGTCAAATATTTGGAGACGGGCGCGCTGCGAGGGGGAAGAGGAGTAAATGCTTCAACTTCAGACTCATGATCCTGTGCCCTAACACGAGAGTAGCTGTTATCTAAAACAATGGCCAAGGTTAGCCCTATGATGAGCATGGGAAGTCTGGCTTTCATGAAATGTTTGAAGAGAGGTGGAATGGGATCAAGTGTCGTTTGTTAGTAATCGAGGGGGGTGAAATGAGGTGGAAAGTGAAGCGAAACCTGCCTCACAATCGCCCAGCCTCGGTATTGGGTGAAGAAGAGGGAAGCCCAAGGTTGGAGGAGCCTTGGGGTTGGTACGGCATGGTGCTGCACACAGTGGCATGAACTGAAAACGCAAGCCAAGCCTCTCGACTAGGCTAGGATATGGGCAGCCTCCTGTCCAGGTGCGTGCTCAACCTAGATTTTGCCGAGCCGGGAGACATCAGCAACAATACATGCGGGGCGCGAATCTGGTGATAGTTGAGGGGTGAGAAGATGTGGTGTGATAGGAAAAATCCCCAAGAGGTTGGAACATCCGCGACAATGGGATCTGGTCAAAATAGACAGAGTTCGCTCTAATATCATTTGCCTATCAAGTTGTTCTATACATATTGAGTTGCAATATATGGTCCATGAACCGTTACAATGCACGCATAAATACAAGGCACGGATCTAATTTTACACATTCCCTGCGATCTCGTCATCTGTAAGATCGTTAAAGGTCTCGACAGTAACACTCGCACTTCGAAGAATCGTATACTCGATAATAACCTGAAACAGAGAATACCGTACGATCCAGATTAACCCAACATAAAAGACCACCACAGCACGGGCACGCGCGCACACACACAAAAATGTAACTGTAACTGTAACTCACTTCCATGTATGCATCCATTTTTGGGTCCGGTCCAAGTAGACGTGTATACCCGTCATACCAGGGTGTGCCAGGAGCCCAGAGATAATGAAAATCTTGAAACATCCGGATGGTGTAGATTGCCTTCAACGGGTCAAAGAACCCTGGCGTTTTCTCATTGGTCGCAATGTACAGAGTGCGACCAGGTGCAACGAACCTGGGAAGCTTTTCCAGTAAACTGGATAGAATACCGTAATAGCAAGGACAATGTGGCAGGTGAAGAAAGAATGCACGGATTTAGATTACAGGAGGTAAGACCACTCGCTTACTGAAAGGAACGAGCTGTTCGGGGCCCAGGAAGCAATGGCAGATGTGGGGAGGCAGTGGCTCACGCAAATCCCATAAGACAAAGAAAACATTGCAGTGCGAGAAGCATCATTAGGACAAAGGAGATATGAGAAGACACAGTAGCTGTGGCTTAAATTTCGCCTTACGCGTCGGGGCGTGTGTCGTGGTCGAGGTGCGGCCAGAACTCTGGGCGCAGCTTGTCCCCGCGCCTCACGTGCACGGCGTCAAATTCGCCGCCATTCATGCTCGCCGAGATGTTTGCTGCTAGCGCCAGCAGCTCTGGACGGAACCGAATGGCCGTCTCGTTCACCCCTGCAGGTGTGCTCTGGCGCTGGAGAGGGGAGGGGTGGGGGGACAGGGGGGTGGGGAAGAAGGTGGGGTGGGGGGAGCTGAGATGTTTGCTGCCAGCGCCAGCAGCTCCGGGCGGAACCAAATGGCCGTCTCGTTCACCCCTGCCGGGGTGCTCTGGCGCTGCAGCGGGGGGGTGGGGAGGTGGGAAGAAGGTGGGGGAAGCGGAGATGTTTGCTGCCAGTGCCAGCAGCTCCAGGCGGAGCGGAATGCTCGTATTGTTCACCCCTGCAAGGGTGCTCTGGCGCTGGAAGGGAAGAGGGGGGGCGGGGAGGGGCGCTGGGGAGGCAGTGAGAATATACAGAAAAGTGAGAGGAGAGAATGGCTGGATGCAGCTCTGGCCATCTCATTTACCCCTGCACGGGTGCTCTGGCGCTGCAGGAAGGGGGTTAGGGAGGCAAGGGATACACGGGAAAAGTGAGAGGAGAGAATGGACGGAAGCTCATGGCTGTCTCGTTCACCCATGAGGAGGTGTTTTGATGCACAAGTGGACAGGGGGAAGTGCGGAAGAAAGGACCTGGGATTTTGTAAGGGGGGAAGAGTGCAGGGAGTGTGGAGGAAGAATGATTCTGGCTGGAACCGAATGGTGGCTGGAACTACCAATAAGGAAATGCTTTGAAGCTGGAAGAGGGGAGGAGATATGTGAAAAACAAGGAATGGAATTCTGTAAGGGAAGGCGAGTCCATAGAGGGTAGAGGAGGAAGAAATCTGGCTGAAACCAAACATAGAAAAAATGAAGAACCTGAAAAAAAAAAAAAAAAAAAAAAAAAAAAAAAACAACAACAACAACAACAACAGCACACTAATCTCCCCATCGATCCCCTTCCACCAATTCAGCCCCACGCTCATTCCCCCATCAACCCCATCCCACCAATTCATCCGCACCCGTCAATCCCAGCCCAACCTCATGCGTCCCCAACCATACTCACCTAGCTCTGCCCATCTCTACCCATTTCCACCCACCTTGCACGTGCTGAACCCATAGTTGGTTTCGCAGATAACCAGGGGAGTAGCTCCATCCGCGGCCAGTGCGGCCATGGGCGCCCTTTCATCCACCACACACGCGCGCGGACAGCTCCATCTCGCCCATCCCCACTCATCTTAGCCCATCCCCACTCCACCCATTGCCACCCACCTTGCACGTGCTGAACCCGTAGTTGGTTTCGCGGATAACCAGGGGAGTAGCTCCATCAGCGGCCAGTACAGCCATACGCGCCCTTGCATCCACCACACACACGCAGATAGCCCCCTCCCGCCCCACCAGCACTCAACCGCACCCAACCACACCCATTGCCACCCACCTTGCACGTGCTGAACCCGTAGTTAGTTTCGCGAATAACCAGGGGAGTAGCTCCATCCGCGGCCAGTGCCGCCATGGGCGCCCTTTCATCCACCACACGTACGCGGATAGTCCCCTCCCGCTCCGCCCGCCTCTCCTGCACCTGCCATTCGCGCGCCCCCCGCAGAAATCCCTGCAGCGGTGTGAAGGGCACGGTTCTGGGGGGGAAGAAGGGGAGGCGAGGAGGGTGGGAGAGGGGGGTTGAGGCGGGGGAGGGGAAGAGGGGGGAGAGTGGGAGTGGAAGAGGAGGGAAGGGGGGGAAGGGAGAGGAGATGACTACAGTTGAGGCGAGGCCCCCCACTCCTGCACCTGCCACTCCCGATTCCCCCTTAGAAAGCCCCTGTAACGGCGTGAAGGGCACATCCCTGGGTGAGGAAGGGGCAGTGGGGTTCAAAGGAAGCGGCAGTGGGGGATTTGGGAAGAGGATGGATGGGAAGGTAGGGGGATTGGAACTTAACGTGAGTACGTGACACAGCTGAGGATGAATCAGGTGAGAGAGGAGGAGAGCATAACAGCTGGGAATGAAAATCAGAGGGGGAAAGGGGAGAAAGCTCTTCTCAGCTCAAGATGAGCACAGTGGGAGGGTGTGGTGTGGGTGTGGTATGGTGTGTGGTGTGGGTGTATCAGAGCGGGAAAGGGGAGCAAAATCTTCTCCAGGGATCACTCGAAGCCCAGAAAGGGACAAACAAATCAAACATGAAATGATTACCTGAGAAAGTCCAGGTCATGGTACACGAAAGCCGGTAAAAGAAAACAGAGAATTTAATACAGTAAATTATTTACCTGAGCGAGTCCAGGTCATAGTACACGTGGATGGATCTGATGTGGTGAATGCCTCCACTGTGCCACGCGTTCACGCACTGAGTCATGTCCAGAACCAGTGTACGGTTCAGATACGCCGCCTCCGCGATCAGACACGTCAGGCTGAGGTGGTAATGCTTTACTCCAGCGCAGTAGTCGCGTGAGCCGGTTATGAAGAGGTACCGGCCGTCAGGACGGAAGTAATCCTGACGGCTAACCGGCAGCCACGGCGTTTCCCACAGCACGGAGTGCAGAACGGGCATTCTAGACCGGATCGCATTGTCGTGCAAGAAACCCACGAACTTCGTCGAAGTTTCCAACTGCTTCAATCGAACCACGTCATCGTTCCGGACCGGTTCAAACCGCGGGTTCCTCACCCGCTTGCCGTTCTCGCCAACCTTTCCGCGAATTTCGTCGTCCAAAGCTGGTAAACCGTATTCTGACGTTTCTGATTCCACGCCGACTCTAGTACTATCAGCAACTACAGTAGAACTAGCAGCCCCTCGCGCTCCCTTTTTGCTGCTGCTGCTGCTGCCGCCGGATCGAGCCGCATCAGCGAGAAGGCTCTGCGACGGTGCTTTCCGAAACGACTGCCGCGTAGCAACGGCGCCAGCAGCAGCATGCTGCTTCTGCTGCTGATGATGATTTTCTTGCTGCTGCTCCTGCGAGGATTGTGGGTGTTTCCACAACAAGATCCCACGATCCGACGGATCTACGAAGTCAAAGGGACGGCAGAAGGATGGGGGGGATAGGAAGGGCGAGAGGAGCAGGACGGCGAATGCCAAGCCGCGAACGGAGGAGACGGTGGAGAACGGGGAGAGATCGCGGCTCAATGCACGGAAATTCCGCATTTTCAGCGCTTCGGGGACTATTTCTTCGATCGGATCGACCACTTACAGAGGTGACATTTGAGTCGACTGAAAAGCCACGGGAACGCCTAGACTGACGTAAAGTAACATCACCGAGCCTAATGTCTGCTTCGTGAGGGAATATAGCAAGGTAATGCGTCAGAAATGGAGCAATGCCGGATATAGCTAGTCGCGCTCACTGTCTTGCACAACTGGGCGTCCATGGCTGTTCTACCGTCTCACCGACCCCAGCCTGTGGCCTGTGATAACTTCTTGAGGCGCCTCAGGAATATTGCTAGTCGGACTTAGTAGAGTCTTGAACAACTGGCTGTTCATGGCGGTTCTACCGTCTCACCGGCACCAGCCTGTGGCTTTGATAACAGGCACGCGCGCGGGGCGCTCGTAATTATTCCAGACAGCTTTTCAGGTTTCCCTTACTACGTATCACTCAGTAACTTCCATAGCATGAGGCGACAACAGGCTTGCTTCTGGGGCAAGCTTGACTCGGTGTGAATTTCGCTTTTCATACACTTGCCACGGTTATATCTGGTTCACTACGATAAAAAACGGTTTAGAGCTATCATCCTAGGTGCTGTCGTGTGGAGGATTTGCTGATCGCAGTTGATCAGCGGACGAACAAGAGCGACGCACCTCAGGTCGCATGCTCAATGTTCACTTGGGTGTGGTGTGAGAAAATGTGCTCGGGGTAGGATAGCTGTTTTTGCGAGTTTGGCGTCGGTCTGATACGGTGAGGGTTACAGGTAGTCGGTTTGACCTGCACCATGTCATCCCTGAGCTCCTTGTGGCAGTGCACCCTGCCACCGACCACTCGAAATTGACGAACTCTGAGAGAATTGCTCCAGGGCCTTGTTTGGTGATTCGCTCTTGCCCACGTGTCCCCGAATTGCTAGCGTGGCCATCCAATTCAGTGGCGGCATTTTCGGGGTGTTTTTTTTCCCCGGCACATTACCCTACAAGGGTTTGTACCCCCGAAATTCCTCATTCGCATTATTCTCATCCCATGGAAGTGATTCGTACTATTCCCCACCCGAAAATTTCGGGTGGGTGGCGGGCCAGAACATGGCCCACACACTGTACACAAAACCGACAAAAATGCACGACCAACAGTAGATGCGTGGTAATTTTCGGCCCAATGCGCGACCAATGAGCGCGCGGTCAAACAAATTCGTAACCAACAAGCGCTTGCGCATATACATCCGCGATCATAAACCTCAATTGACCAGCATCAAACCGCAACAGCCCTAACGACCGCGCATGATTCGTCAATAATATGCGCGGTGCAATTGTTGGCATTACGCGTCCAATCAGGTGTCATCATTAAGGATTGCAACCATATTTGACTGTGCAAATGAAACTCAGTGTACGATATGATCTCGCCAATTATATTCTAAAAACACTCGCACAAACATAAATTCTGACCAATTAGGTTCAAATTAAAACGCTCAATCTGGTTTGGTACGCCTCTATCATCTTCCCGCGCATTATGATTTGAAACATATGCTACAGATCGCTCACACTATTTCCTCTCGTTGTTTTAGGGTTGACATCTACCTTAGCCTTCGATTAGACCACTTAGGTCCTTACAGGATGTTATTCTATGAGCTTTTCCGGCTTGAACGTTCCTATTAGCCGCAATGGGTTCGATGTCTTACACCTCTAACACACAGACCGACTCAGGCGATGAAGATACAGAGTTTTGTTTCGTTGGATCTGGAGAGCCCAGACTGTGAAAATGAACGAGGAATGAAAAGACTAAGGGAAAGTTGGGTACAAGTACAAACCCTAGAAAGCTGTACCCCATATGTGCTACCCCACTATAGCCTACAGCAGCTAAGTCATATAAATCTGACACACCCCCATAGGCAAAGTGGGGGAGGACAAGGGGTCACAAGACCAGTCAAGCAAAGCAAAGCAAGCTCAGGGTGGATCACAATGTCACCACACATTCCGAGCACAAGTTCAAGGCCACAAGGCCAGTTCACATGCAGGATTACATATATATATAAGGCTAGACAAGCAAGAGCAGGTGTATATGTATATGTAACAGTACAAACAAGGTCAAGGGGTGAGCAAGTGAGGCAAGGTAGGCACAAGACCCAGCTGAGTACAGAAGCGCTGATGATCACAAGGCGCAAGTGCCTTGGTGAAGATATCAGCAGTGTTGGCCTGAGAGGCCACGTACGCAAGCCGCAGCTGACCACGCTGCTGTAGCTCATGAGCAAGGAAGTAGCGGAGAGCAATGAGCTTTGTTCTGTGCTCCAGTCTCTGCTCTCGACACAAGGCCAGCATGGCCTTGTTGTCTACGTACAGCACTGGAGGAGAACGAGGCGGCTCTCCGAGGTCAGTCAGCAGGTAGGTGAGCCAGCGAAGCTCCTGTGCAGCCATGGCCCCGGCGTAGATCTCAGCCTCACAACTGGAGCCGAGAACAGAAGACGAGCGGGTAGCCCGCCACGAAACAGAGCCGGAACCAAGGCTGAAGGTGCAACCCTGTGACGACCGCTGCGTAGCCTGGTCGTCAGCCCAAGAAGCGTCTGCGTGCCCAGTGAGGACCACTGGACTCTGCCCTCCAAGCACAAGCCCCATGCCCGACGTACTGCACAAGTAACGCAACACCCTCTTCGCTGCAGCCATGTGCTCCGGTCTGTGTCTCCCAGGAGCAACATAGCGTGCGAGAATGCTAAGAGGGTATGCGAGGTCAGGTCGTGTGCAGGTCATCAGGTACATGAGGCAGCCAACAAGCTCTGGGTACGGGCCACTCGACTCTACGGACTCATCCGAAGGCAGAGCTGAGAGCGAGTGGCGAGTAGGCAGAGGAGTGGCCTGAGGCGAGGAGTACGTGAAGCCGAAGCGCTGAAGGACCTGCTGCACCATGTGTGACTGAGTCAGGGTAATGGTGCGGCGTGCTCTGTCCCGGGTGATCTGCAAGCCAAGGTAGCTGCGCAGTTCACCCAGGTCTGTGCACGTGTGTCTCTTCTGCAGCTCGGACTTCACGTGGGCGAGTCCAGCAGTGTCAGCTGTGGCAAAGACCAAGTCGTCGACGTATACGAGGATGTAGAACGGCGGCAAAGAAGTGTCGGTGCGCAGAAACAGCGACGGGTCAGCAGTAGAGGGAGCAAACCCAAGAGCCGCAAGCGTAGTCCTCAGTGTGTCGTGCCACTCACGCGGTGCCTGGCGGAGACCGTAGACTGGCCGCCGAAGGCTCCACTGGGTGCCAGGAGGAAAAGTCCCAGTGAAGCCAAGTGGGCGGCGCAGCCAGATCTCCTCGTGCAGGCTGCCCTGCAAGAAAGCAGTGCTGAAGTCAAGAGAGTGTGGCTCGTAGTCACGGTGAGCAGCTATGTGCAGCAGTACCCGAAGAGTGGTCATCTTCGGGGTGGGAGAGAAGGTCTGAAAGTAGTCAACTCCCTGCCGCTGACTGAAGCCACGAGCCACGTAACGCGCCTTGAAGACAGGCGGAGAACCCGGCGGCCGCTTCACCCTGAAAATCCACATGCCACTGACGATGTTCGCCCCAGGCGGGGGAACCTCGTCAACGTAGGTGCCTGTGGACTTCCAGGAAGCCATCTCTGCGTCCATAGCTGCCTGCCACTGAGAGGAGTAGGGACCCTCTATCGCCTCCGCGTAAGAGCGCGGAGTCGGGATGTCAAGTGCATCCGGGTCTCCCTCAGGGGTAAGTAGTACGGACACGAGATGAGGTGAAGCAGCAGCCAAACACTGGAACTCCTCCTGTCTGTCCTCAAGGACGTCCGTGCCAAGGGCACACTCACCCCCGACGGACGGAGGACAGACAGACTCAGACGCAGCAACA